GCTGCGTTTCCCCATCACATACGGTTTCCCCTGCATCTCCGCACAGCGCAGGCGGCACGATTCACCACGCAAGCATCAGGTAACGCACATGCTCCCTAAAGGCGCGCAGCAGTCGCCCTGTGCTCGCGCCACAGGAGAACTATGGAGAGCGTGAACGATCAAATGATAGCCCATATGGAGAAAGGGAGAAATCTGGATGGGTGGATGGATGGATACTCTGCCTTTTCAACCTACTGTATATTTTATTTTAAACATTATTTGATGGCCTTTGTGGCAGGGATGGAGATCCATATTTATGTCACACACAGAGCATACATCTAGATAAGATAGATGGATAGATAGATGTCGCAGTATCTATAACAACCCAAACACACAGGCTTTAGAAACACACAGCGAGAAGGGTGGGCTGGGTGGTGAGGGTTACGGGGGTGAGAAACGCAAAAGTAACGCAATATTTACTTTTACCAGTAACTAGTTACTTTTATTGTGGAGTAACTCAATTAGTAACTCAGTTACTTTTTGGGAGAAGTAACTAGTAACTATAACTAATTACTTTTTCAAAGTAACGTGCCCAAAACTGGTCCTCTCTTTGTTCAGTCTACCATAAATACTCTCCTTGTGCAGTTCCTCAGTGCTGGTTCCTCGTCATACCTCGTCTTACCCAGTCTTACCCTGGCTCCTTGTTATTCTTTTCGCCTGATGTCTCCATGGTTCTGGTTTGTGTCACATTTTTCATGTTGGATTTTTGGACTTTTGGATTCCTGCCTCTGTTACCTGTGTTTACTAATTAAAACTGCGAGAAGTCACCTGTGCCTCTTAGCCTGTGCATTTGGGTCCTCTAAACCAGGGTTTTTCAACCCTGGTCCTCAAGGCACACTGCTCTGCATGTTTTGGATGTTTCTGAGCTTCAGCACACCTGATTCAGATGATTGCAGTTCAGCAAAGCCTGATAATCTGCTATCGATTGATAACAGGTGTGTGAAAGCTGGGAAACATCTAAAATATGCAGGGCAGTGTGCCTTGAGGACCAGAGTTGAAAAACACTGCGTCTAAACCACAACCAAACCTTGACAGGTGAATTAAAGATAATACTCAAATTAGAGCTTCTGAGTACCTCATTAGGGAGACCATAAATACCCACAACTTCATTCTCTTTTTGCTTTATTTTAGAAGAAGTCATCAAGTAAACTGTAGCCACTGTTGGCATATAATTTACTGTCATCATTTTCCCGCTTTTCAACATTTGATCAGGCTCAGCAGAAGATCGACAATTTTCCAATAAAACCTCCAGTTTAATATTTTTGGTCCTTACTTATGCATTTCCATCCAAAACGGATGCAGATTACCAGTTCCTAATTTTAATTTTAAAAACTGGTGAAATTATTTGTTTGAAAAATATATTTTTGAAAAGTAGACACCGTAATAGTCCCAACTAGTTTCTACAATGACCTACACAATTCTTGTAGATTATGAAAATGTAGATGCTCAGGTAAAACATTTTTTTTGATAAAGTAACACTCCAGATAGGCTTTCCTCCAATTTTCTAATTTCAGAGAGGTTACTTATCATGTGGGTTTGTATTTTTTCAGGAACGCGAAGAATCCCTCCAAAAGATATAGAAAGAATTGACATTTGGATCATGATGGCCCTCTGACTCACACCCTTCCTTTTGATATCTTTAATTAGACTGTGGTAGTAGACAAATCGATCATCCTTTATGATCTCAGGAATTTGTATATATTTTTTCTTTTTGAACTTTATTTAAACAAAGTATTTACAAATCTGTTGAAGGCATAGTAGAGGCAGATTTCAAAAATGGAAGTACAAGGCATTATTGATAAGGAACCAAAAAGTAATGAAATAATTATTAACATTGCAACAAGGGGATTCATGTTAGTATTGATAAACATTGGTGGGCAAACCCATCAGTATTCCAGTCAGGTATTCGTATGATTCGATACATTTAAGAGATTTCAAATATAAATTGAATTCAGTTTAAAAAAAAAAAAAAAAACTTTAAAGATTGGGGATGATCTCAGCACTCTTTGTTTATGAATAAAGTTTTTTGCTAAACACAAAATTAGGTTACAACAGACTTCTATTGTTTTGTTTATTAATAATATTCTAAAAGTTACCATACCTCTAGAAATAGATTCAGGACGTGCAATTTTTTATTTTACAGACAAACGGCTGCATAGAGTTTGTAATTCCCCCCAGGTACGACAGGCACAAGTGGCTTTCTCTACCGATGGATTTATTGAATCTTGCTTGTTCAGACTCATAAACCACACCGTGAAAACTAAAAGG